AGGCCAGGGAGCAGTGCAGGGACGGGTGGGCCCGGGAGGCCGGGAAGCGGTGTGGGGACGGGCGGGCCCGGGAGGCCTGGGAGCGGTGCGGGGTCGGGTGGGCCCGGGAGGCCTGGGAGCGGTGCGGGGTCGGGTGGGCCCGGGAGGCCAGGGGGCAGTGTGGTGCCTGGGCGGCCAGGAAGTGGTGTCGGGATAGGACCTGCAAAGTCAGTCAGTTCAGGTGTGGGACCTGGGCGACCAGGTAGCAGCTCAGTTTCAACTCCAAAACCTAAGTGCACTGTTGTATCAGAAACAATCTCATCTAAAAATCTAGTCTCGAGACCAAGTATTGCACAGATGAATGGAACGAGACCTACTTCAGGGCATAGACCAGTGTTTCATCCACAAGGTATGCTGTTTTCAGCAACTCATGTTTTATGTAATAAGTTTCATGCAGTACTCGTGCCACACTTCTGGGGTTGAAATTGGTCAGAATTGCAAGCAAATTGTAGATAGATTTTTCTAAGTGTGTCTGATAACCAATGTTGCATTCGGAAGAGTGTCACTAAATAGCAGAACGACTTTTTCTCTCGCCTTGCCACTCATTGCAGTATTTTTTTCCTCTTCATCTGACATTTATATCCAAGAAAGTAAGATCCTTAGATAGGTGTGGTCTTTTCTAGGGGAAGAAAAAGTACATAATACAGTGAACTTCCAATAATCCGGCACCTTTAGGACCCATGGGGTCCCTGATTATAAAATATGCCGGAGTACCAGAAGGGGAGCTATGAGGGGTCTGGGATAGGGGTGGGAGGTCGGCAGGGAACTGCACAGCGTGGGAGAGGGCGGCGCTGTGGGACCAACCCGGCAGCACCCCAGCTGCTCTGTCCCCGGCTTCCCCAAGTCCGCTGCTGCTGAAACTGACCAGCGGCTGACTTGGGAAAGCCGGGGGCAGAGCAGCTCCAATTGTCCGGCTGGCCAGAGCACTTCCGGGTTCCAGTTGGTGCCAGACTTATCAGGAGTGCCGGACCACTGGATGCCGGACAATTGGAGTTTTACTGTAAATAGGAAGGAGGGGAGTCCAGCCAGCCAAAACATTAACTCTTTCAGGTAACTTTTAAACATAAGCTGCTTTTTAATGGTGGCTGGGTGAATGGCTAAAGGTAGAGAAATGAAGGATTCCTGAAGTCATGTCATTTAAAATTGTGCTTGCTTAATTATTTAATAGTGTCTTCTTTTCAAGGATCTCAAAGCACTTAGAAGACACTAGATCCCACAACAAACCTGGGATGTTTAAGTGTTGTCTGGATATACTCCATCTTATTAATATTGGGAAGTGAAGCTAAAAAATCTTTGTAGTTGTAAATTGGATTGCATTTTTGCATATCAGTGTATTCAGAATTCCATGCTTGAGTAATATTCCAGCATAAATTACCTTTCATTCTGGAAGTTCCTCTGGGATGCAGTTGAGTGTTATGATGGGAAACTTGGCTTGTTTATGTAGCTTAGAAGAAATATTTCATCTTGCTGAGACTCTTGGAATGTCCAAAAAAGTTGTATTTTTATTAACTTTATCTTGAGGATCAGAGCTGCAAACTGTACCACAAATCATAGATACTTCTGCATGGAGTTCTTGATAAATAAATGATTTCACTAATGAAGAGGGGAGAGGAATAATGGGGAAAAAGATTAATAGAAAAATAATTAAAATAATCATTTTGATTAAAATTTAGTGCCCTGTGGATTACAGAAGTCATAAATATTTTACTCTTTCCGTTTAGGTCTTCCAAGGCCTTCTCTTCCACCTATAAGTTATAAAAGGCAAATAGACGATGACGACGATGAATATGATTCTGAAATGGATGATTTCATTGATGATGAAGGGCAACCCCAGGAAGAAATATCAAAACATATTCGAGAAATATTTGGCTATGATCGGAATAAGTAAGAAAAATTAAGAATATTTTCCCATTCTAAATTAATTTTGTTTGACCACCTCTTTTTTTCTGATATTGTAAAAGCTCAAAGTGTTGCATTCGGTGAATGGGAATTCTTTATTAAAACTTGTTTTAATGGATAATAACTAATCATAGAACTAAAAATTAATGGTAGCTTACTTTCAAATTATCATGACTTGATCACATTTATAATGTGCAAGCAAACAAAGTCCAAACAAGTAAGCGTGCGTGTATACATAAAGCTTACTTGTTTGTTTTGTAAAGTTGGTTCTGTTAAAGCATATTTTTATATATGTATACAGGCAGTCCCCGAGTTACGTACTAGACAGGGACTGTAGGTTTGTTCTTAAGTTGAATCTGTATGTAAGTCGGAACTAGCATCAGCCGCTGCTGAAACTGACCGCCAGTTCTGACTTACATACAGATTCAACTTAAGAACCCCAGGCGTCCCCAACTCTGTAGCCTCGGGCTTCCTGTAGTCAGCGCTGGTCAGTTTCAGCAGTGGCTGACTTGGGGACGCCTGGGGCAGAGCAGCTGGGGTGCTGCTGGGTTGCTCCAGTAGCACCATTCCTTGGC